CATGTGGCCCTCAGGCCGAGCAGGTTCCCCACCCCTGGAAGGGCTCAGTCTGGCAGGGCACTTTCAGCTACGAGTTTTCACCAGTAGTTAGTCATGTAGTCAATGTGATAGGTGGCAACTTGTATTTTTAAGAAATATTAATAAGGTCAGGTGTGGTGGCTCACACCTGTAATCCTAGGACTCTGGGAGGCCGAGGAGGGTGTATCCCTTCAGCTTAGGAGTTCCAGACCAGAGTGAGCAAGATTAAGACCCTGTCTTTACTAAAATAGAAAAACTAGCTGTTGTGGTGGGAGCCTGTAGTCCTCCCTACTTGGAAGGCTGAGGCTTGAGGTTGCTGTGCGCTATGACACCATGGCATTCTACCCAGGGTAACAGAGTGAGACTGAGGAAAGGGAAAGGGAAAGAAAGAAAAAAACGAAATGTAATAAGATGAGTTACAAGTTGTCAGAGCGTGGTGCAGAGTGCAGCCACCAGGCACAGCAGTCCGTTAGTGAAGTGCCACTGCCAGTCTCCCAGCGGGCCCTGCTCTGGGCTCCAAGGAGCTGGTGCCTTGCCAAGTTTGGCCTCTCAGAAGCACTTGACGGAGGCTGCAAGGCTAACAAGAGGAAGATGGGACACGTTCTGTTTCACTTCCAGTTCCTGTCGTCGCCCACCCTCTTCTGCCCAGCAATGTGTCCCTATCTTGGCAGGAGCAGCAGCTGGTCCACTTAGCAGTTTTTCCACATTACCAGAGCCAACCCATCCTGCTCCCTGGGAGACACCAGCTGGTCCATGTCCCCTCCTCAGAAGTTGTATCGGCTCCACGGATCTTCCTTCCAGCTTCTAGTTCTGACAATTCCCACCTCTCCCTGGAGCCCCTGGGTCCTCACAGGGTAGCATCTCCCTGTTGTCACTACCCCATGCTCTCCACGGAGCATGAAGAGATGAGGGCCAGTCCTTGAAACACCTGTCACTCGTCCACAATGACATAAGGAGCTTACATTAGAGTGTAAATCAACTACATTGCTAAGAGCACTATTGAAGTCAGCTAACTTTCCTTTATAGGTAGACCTTCTCAGAAAGAGGCAGTGAGTTGATTTACATTCAGGTGCAAGCTCCCGACCTCGCTGCAGACTGGTGGGAAACAGCAGATCAATCTACTCTGAGTAACACAGGCTTAGCAGCTCCCTCCGGTTAAGGATTCTTTTCATTATACTCCTAAAGGAGTTCCTGTGGTTTCTGTCTCCGAACGGGCCCCTGACTGATATTCAAGATACACCCAGGCCTCACTTCTGTAACTTTTCTTTTCATTACACACAGGCATGTGTGCAAAATGGACTATGGTACAAAATGGACCACATGGTCAACAAGCTGGAAAAGCCAAAAATGTAGAATATAAGAAAAAACATGTATCCAAGTCCCTTCTTGTGACACTACATTCTTCAAAAACTCAGGAACTCAAAGAAAATGTTCAAGAAAATTCCACCCAACACAAACTTCCATCCACAAGTGAGGGAAAGAAAAATGTAACAGTAAACGAGAGCTTTCTGGTTTTTTAAGACTTGAGGTATAGTTTCTTTTAGGACCTAGAAAAATGTGTTGCTTCGTGTGAGTTCACTGTATGCTGGGACTTCAGAGCACCTTAATCCTGGGTCCTCTTTTACACAACTACTTGTCTCTGCCAATTATGTTCATGGGTGGAGTCGCATGTGTACAGTGATTATAGGAGCAGACTATTCAGTCAGGCTTACTTTTAACTATTTAACTATTTCCTAACAACCTAGCAATAACTTGACTTAATATTTCACGGCTATATTTGTAAGGTCAATGCCTTATGGTGTCTACTTCCCTGTTTTAATACAGTAAAAGTGTACTCAATCCACCCTAAGAAATAAGATATAACAGGTCTGTTTGACATAAAGGCAGAGGGAAACTAAAAGTACAAGCTATCCAGGCGTTTTTCTAACAGCCTGAGTAATAACCCACATTTTTGATACTGGAAGTTAAGAGGCAGCTGTGGCCTCTCATCCCTTAAAATTGCTCTATTACTGGTATTATATGAGAATTTTCCTAGTATACTTTTAAAAAAACATCTGAACACAAAGTTTATGCTATACCAATGGGAATGCGTGTATTTAAGACATTTAGGGTATTGTAAAACTTTTACTGACCTTGTTTTGATTATTTCTGATGCTGCATCCATTAATTTTCTCTTAGTTTAGGCGGACAAATTATCCATTCCAAGAAAGTTAATAAAATATTTTTAAAATATACACTGAAGAAAGTATCAAAAGGTCTATAAATAGGAATAATGACTTGGCCAGGTCAAGTGTGCTAACTTAACCAAAGAAGGAGTCATCTGGAAACCGTGCTGGGGTCAGGGCAGGCTGGCACAGTGGAGAAGCTCTGGGATAAGAGACGGCCGCGTGTGTTTCATTTCATGTTTAGCCTTTAATAAACTAACTGTGTGACCTTCAGAATGCTCTCTACCCTCTTTGGATTTCTGTGAAATAAGAGGGTTGGACATGGTGGCTTAGGAAGTCCTCTGAAGCTCTTTCACTCACATGGACTCCATGTACACAGTTCTATGTCCCATTATGATAGGACTAAACCACGCAGCCGAGTGCTGCTGGGATAGTGTTAAAGAAGACACACCCATGCTAATTCATTCTACAAGAAAAACAATGCCTAGCCCTTTTTTTTTCTTTTTAAGCATTTGTTATAACCATGGGCAATTGAAAGGAAACTACTATAAAAACGGTGTGGCTTGGTGCCTATGGCTCAAGTGGCTAAGGCACTAGCCA